CAAGTTTTCCTTTACCCAATGGACCGGCATTTTGGATTCTCTGGGGTTTCAGGTAAAAGGCAGACAGGGGAGAACTACTATCTTGAGTGTATGAACTTCCTTTTTGTGAAATAAAAGGTGATGTGGCAAGTGCCAAATCTATAAGAAAATGTATCCAAAGTGTTTACATTTATTTCAAAGCTAATGGTTACCTTCCTTTCCTCGTCCTTTTATTCTTTAGAAATTCCATTTTCTAAAGGATCAGACTAAAGAAAACCAAATGTACACTGTTCTCAAATTCATCTTCTACATAATTCAATTATTGGACGTTCTTTTTCACTTTCTTCTGAGTTTTGATGATAAGAGTTACTGTTGACACCCATATAACACCCACATCCTATTAGGTGAACGGAAGGCAGTTTTGGCAACAGGAGAGACAATGTGATTTTTTGAGAGGTTCGTTTCATATGCTGCTTCAGTAATGAGCACGAGAGACCATCTCACCCAGGCAGTCACAGGAGGATATTCCCCTGCCCTGAATTAAAGGATTCTATTATGTTCTCTGGAGCCATCAGGGATTGCGCTCTTTTCATCCATAAAGCGTTTATGCTAATCTTGTCTATTTTCTTTCACATTTTAGGTTCCATGCAGAGCCAACAGTAATTAATATAAATTAAGAATGCTGGTGTGGAAAGCTGTTCCTTATCAATCTGTCACACTGCACAGAATGATAGGAGATTAGCTCTAATGGCCAGTGAAATGGTTATGAAAGAGGTCAGATATATTTGGATGACAGTCAGGGGACTGCTGCTGTCAACAGGTCTAAAGCTGTCTGTCACACGACTCCAGGAATTCAGATGCAGTTTGTCCTCAGTGCTTGAAGATTTCTGGAACGCTCTGACAGAATCACATCTTATTTAGATGTGATTTAGAACTTCTGTCCTGGACAAAGACTCATGTATCTCTCAAAGTCAAGGTCATGGCAGCTGTAACCACACGTGGCCACTGAATACCTGAAATATGACCAGTCCAAGGTGTGCTGTTTGTGCAAAACATATACTGGATTTCAAAGATTAATTATCAAAAAGAATGTATACTATCCTGTAATATTTTTACATGTTCAGTTCACAGAGAACAATAATTCAATTTCTTGGAATAACATAGAATGGAAAAAAAATCTGAAAAGATTACATGTATACATATGTATGTGTCTAACTGAATCACTTTGCTGTACACCTGAAACTAACATTGCAAATCAACTACACTTTAATAAAAATTTTTTTAAAGAAAATTAAAAATAAAATTAATTTTTATTGTATTAATTACACGTTAAATAAGAATATTTTGGATATACTGGGATTAAATAAAATATATTACTGAAATTAATTTCACCCTTTTATGTTTTAAAATACGGCTACTTGAAAAGTTTAAATTATAGATTCTGGCTTTCATTACATTTCTGCGGGGCAGGGCTGTTCTGGGCTGTATCTGAAGTTCTGAGGTGAGCCACAAGGAGGTAGTAGACTGTGGTAATTAAGGGCAAGGGCCCCTGGTCAGAAAATTTGAGGTTCAATTCCCACAACTTCCATTTCCTCCCAAAGGGACCTTGGCATCGAACTTACCTTCTCCAAATCTTAGATTTCTCACTTATAAAACAGGACTAGCGATGGTGCCTTCCACTCAGGGATGATTAAATCTCAACTGCTCTTATCTAAGGAGGTAACTTGGGTTCTTAGAATGAGCATGAGGTTCTAGCTGACAAAAAAGGACACACTTTCTAAAAGTTAGCTGCCATATGAGAAACAGATTGAGTATAAATCTTAAATAGTAAAATGGATCAAATAAAACATACTTAAAATACTCTTATCCTCTTTCTGCCTTTGACCCATTTCTACTAAGCAGCAGAAATACCAGAAGGAAAACTCCGAGTTATCTCAATGTGGATTAGCTCTGCTGTTTTCTGGGTCACCTCTCTCTGCTACGAAAAGACATCATGTAAACCAGCTTTACTGTTTCCCTGTGAGACAGGAAGGTCCTTCCTTCCAAAAGGCAATCACATGCCACTGAGGAGCTAAACATTAAGTAATGTTTGAACTGGAGAGCTGTTTGGGCAGAATGGGTGATGGACAGTGAATAGGACAGGCCGGGCACTCAATCCTAGGTCAGCCACAGCCTGAGCCAAGGTCACATGAAATCTCCAAACCTTGGTCTTCTCATCTGCAAAATGGGGATGAGAGCGATAATGAATGCCTCTCACAAAAGCTTATTTTAAAGAATAAATTAAATGATGGATATAAAAATCCCTCATCTGTAAACTGGAAAATATTACGTACATGTTAGCTACTGTCATGACTTCATTCTACTGGATCGTGAGACTAATCTTCGCAGATGGAGCCACTTGTTTCTGGTGTAATGTGAACAAGCAGAAGGGAAACAGGGTGACTCTGTACACCGTCCTTAACCTCTCAGGACTTGGCCCTCTTCTTCTGTCTATTTTAAAAAGTCATTGGGAGAACTTTATTTATTTAAAAAAAATGATACTCAGAAAACTACAAAGTCCTATACAAATGCAAAGCATTGTTGGCTTGGATAATCATAAAGAGTTGATTTATTGAAAAAGAGAGAAAAATCTTAGTTGAGTATCTGGGAGTCCCTCCGACTTCTCTGGAGCCATCAGGCACTTGTGCGCTTTTCATCCATAAAGCATTTATGCTAATCTTGTCTATTTTCTTTCACATTTTAGGTTCCACACAGAGCCAACAGTAATTAATATAAATTAAGAATGCTGGTGTAGAAAGCAGTTCCTTATCAGTCCATCACACTGCACAGAATGATAGGAGATTAGCTCTAATGGCCAGTGAAATGGTTATGAAAGAGGTCAAAACTAGTCATCACTATGCTCCAAAAAACATTTCCTTGTCCTCTTTAACTCACAGACACTAACTCATGATAACAGGCAGTGGAATAATATGTGAACTGAAGAAAGGAAGGCTGGACTACGCATCTCTTGCTCAGGTCTGGGCAAGATGAAATTGCAAAGAATCTCTGCCATCACTTCCCAGTAGAGCCACGCTCAGCACAGTGCGATCACCACAACTGCAGGATATCATTCTTAACTAGAGCTGTCGTTTTCATATCCAGGCCATCAAAGCTGGCTTCTTTGTCAAAAAAAAAAAAAATTACTCATCAGCATTATTCTTGAAATCAGTACTCTATAACCCAGGTATCCCAAAAGACAGTGGTAAGATTTATGTAGTCACTAAGTCACTTGGGCTGTAAGCTGGACATACACAGATGCAACAACTATTTTTACAAAAGAGTCCTTGGAACTTCACATAAATAAATAAGAGCTCATAAAATAGTAGAGTAAAATCAAAGCATCCTATTGGCCTGTCAACTGTCACCTACAGTAGCTAGAATTGATTTTCCCCAACATCTATGATTTGTTAGTACTTTTAAAAGGAACTTACTAGTACTAAAGTGACTTTTCTGTCACGGTGTGTACTCCTTCATTCTCAGTTGTATTTTCATCATTCTCATTTTGTGCCAAATTTTAACAATTATCTAGTTTGAAAAATTAAGTTCATTTCATTTTGGCTGATTGATACTTTTATTTCTTTCATTTTAATTGTACTTTATTTATTTTTTTTATTTTTGTGTAATATTCCCTTGATTTTGTATTCCAGCATATGGATGAAACCATTCCTTTTTTTTGTTTGTTTAAGTATAGTCAGTTACAATGTGTCGATTTCTGGTGTACAGCATAATGTTTCCTGGGTAAAGCTATTCTTAAATAAGACTTCAGATCCCAGGATTGGCACCTATCCCTTTACACGATGTTAGATTATTCTGTGGTTACTTTACATCAGTGCTTCTGTTCAAACAGGATGAAATAAAAACGTGCATCAGCACGCACACTGGGAAAAAGGACTAGTATCTATACGCCTGTGTAAAATTCAAGTAAAGAGGACGGTGGAGATGCACCCCACGGAGAGGCTGAGGCAATTAAGCCAGACCATTAGGGAGAGGATAAAAGAACAAAGCAAACCACTCGCCCTAAGGCACCAAATGTACGATCCAGAAGTTCAGAGTCATGGAAACCAATTCCGTAAGTGTGTGGACTGTCAGTCACCTAACGCACAGATAAGTCCATCACTGCTCTCTGATTCTAAACATTTGCACCTTTTTATCCCCATTTCTGTTGTTTTCAACCTATTTTTTCAAGTGTAGAAAGTTACATTGCACAGCCACCACCACTTCCACTATGATTATCGCCACTGCTACCGTTACCAGCACCGTCACCAACACGCCTAGACTCTGTACTAACAAAAACGTAAGATGCGAAAGCACCCCCTTTGTCTTCAAGGACACTAACTTGCACTGTCAACCTTCTCCCAGGGCCGAGAGGGAAGAGCAAACACCACTGACTACGGCTGGGAGGGCTTCCTATGAGCAAGAGTTAAACCATGGCGAATTCCAAGCAAGCCTCACTTGGATTCTTACCAACAGCACAAACTGGGCACCGCCTTTGGGCTACGCTTTCAGAGCACACTGCTTTTCCTAGACCGGTTCTACTTTCCAAGGAATATTCATGAAATACTTGGGAAATGCCTCCTACAAACGATGGACTTTGGGAAATGCTGTATTCCACAGTCCCTTCTTGAATGTTTACAGGGCATTTAGCATGTTAAAGATTCTTGCAATAAAGGAAATATCTTTCTTAACTCAGCATTTCCTAAGTTTATTTGATCATGTAACCCATCCCTGCTCCCTCCCCTCTGCAGACAACCTAGGGACATCTCCCAGGACGAACACTTCCAGAGGGACGCAGTGGGAAATACTCTTTTTGACTGATAAAGGGTGGAATTAATTCAGATGAATACTACATGCTCCCAAAGCCTGAAAACCCTAACTAGGCTGCCCAGGAAGAGGGGACAACAGCACGAGCAAATGAATGCTGAGAAGGAAAGGAGTTCTGGAAACGACAGGGTCTCCTGAGCAAAGGCACTTGTTGCACTTACTTAAGGAGATTCCCGAGGTTGAAGAGAGCCCGGTTGTGCTGCGGGTTGAGCTGGAGAGCCCTCTCATAGTACATCTTCGCCTCTGCCGTGTCCCTGGTCAGCGTTCCAAGGTTGTTCAGGGCACTTGCGTGGCGCGGATACAACCTGAAAAATTAGAATATTAAGCCATGATTGTTCAGAAACTTCTCAATTGCTCACAATTTGCTTGTTCGTCACCCCCCCCCCAACCCCAGGTATGCCACAACCAAAATGATGCACTGAATTCTTCCTTTCTTTTAATGATATGTGTTGGGCCAACGGACATCCTTCGGAGTCCAAGGACCCCATTCCTGGGCTCTCGGCTGCCTGACGCTCTTCGCCGGGGGTGCTTCCCCTAGCAAACGAACAGCCCTGGGTAACGCCTCACCGCACACTAGCTCAGGCTGGCCTGTTTCAGCCCACCTTCCCAGAGTCACAGACCCCACCGCCCTTCAGGGACCCCAGATGTCTTACCTCACCTACAGCCAATCAGAAACCTGCACACAAGCCGATCAGGCACCTTGTGACCCGACCTTATAAAACATCCCAATAACCAGCCCTCAGTGCTCACACAGGGACCTCTCGTCTGTGTGGCCCGCCGTGCCTATGACAGTGTACCCCTAACAAACTCCTTCCTATTCTTATACTTAACCTCTGGTAAATTCTTTTTACCAACCAGCATGTCACTGGCTCACCGACCGGCCACCCCGTTGTGCCCCACAACAGTGTGCGTCTGTCAAACCTTAATAGTCAACTGTGCAGCCACAGACGTGAAAATACAGCAGGGAAGCAACACATGGGGTATGAGTAAATAAACCCAGATGGTGCAGAAATAAACAGCATGCAAATCTGCCGGGGTTAAAAAAATCTTAGTCCTTTGGAGTCTACAATTACTTTCAACTTCCCTCGACAGAAAATCCTCATTGCCTCAGGCACCCAGGTTCCGGCACAGTGGACGGCTGGCCAGTGCCCACTATTTACACAAGGTGCTGGGAGGCCCTTGGATGAGGGAATCGCCACGGATATGTTTGGATCGGAGCATCTGTAAAACCGCCATTATTGAGAAGGTGCTACAAATGTCTCCCCATAAAAATAAACTTTCTCCCCTAAATGGCTCTCATCCTTGACTCCCTTTCCCCATTTTATCTCATTTCCCCCTCCTGTAACCTGGCACCACCTGGCCTGATAGTCTCAGAATGAAAATCCTGACAAACACTTACAACTTTAAAAATGCAGGGTGGGCGGGGTATAGCTCAGTGGCAGAGTGTGTGCTTAGCATGCATGAGGTCCTGGGTTCAAGTTCCTCCAGTGGGGCAGAGAAAAAAAAAATATATATATATAAATGCACAATGAAGTGAAAATAGAAACCCTAATGTTTAGAAGCAAATGTAAAGAAGGATGGTGTTTAAATCAGCAAACCAAATTTATGCTGATTCAGGAAAAGAATCAATTTCCCTCCTTAACTGGAGGCTCTGAGGAAGGCAAACACGCACGGGCGACGTAATTCAGCTGTTCCTGCTGAAATCAGAGAGGGCACATTTAGCCTTCGAAGAGGTTCACGCTGTCTCCATCACCCAGCGGACTCCGAATAAGCCTTGGCTCTTAGGGAAAGATAATGCCCACGTGATAAAAGCAGGATCTGTACGTCAAGTCTCTTGACAATCACATGTCTTGCTCGTCCCCTCCCAGCCTGTTCCGTACCTTCTAAGAAGATCAATTTAATTTGGGGACAGAGGGGTTTCTATTAAAAGGCCAAGGAAGATAAGCTGCATAGCTTTTTTTTTTCTTTTTAAAAAATCTTTGCCTAACCCAGTTTCCTAAATTAATTTGACCCTGTAATCCTCCCTTCCCGACTCCTTACAGCACAGCTATGAACATCCCTCAGGATTTCCAGGAAGACACTCTGGATAATGTTCCTCTTGACTGACAAGGGGTAGAACGTTCCATCCTCCCAAGGTCTGGGAGCCCTAAATTATTCACAACGACTTTAGAGGGACTCGGAGAACGACATTAAGAGAGGAAGTTGGGAAAAAGCAAACACACCAGGCCAGCACATGCACTGTTGTTTGCTTCTGTCTGGTCTCCTCAAAGGCAACCTGAGGCTCCCTGGTGCTGAAACAGGAGTGAAGGGCCAGGGCACAGACTCTAAAGGGAGGACACAGCAACTGAGGACAGGACAAACTGGTTAGGACCAAGATGGCGGGAAGACTTGACTTCCGGTGGACCTCGAGCCCATGGCCCCCCCATGGCCCACCCACAGGCACCATGACAGTTCCCAGGCTGACCATAAAAGGTCAAGAAGTGGGCACTGGGGGGATTCCTGGAAATCCCTGCTCCTTCCCCACAGCAGTTGGAATGACCCTCCTACTCATTAGCCTATGAAATTACCGAGCCCATTAAAACCTAGTAAGTCCTCGCCTCCAGGTGGATCTCTCTCTTTTGCCTTCTGAGAACCCACACCGCCTGTGGAGTGTATATCTGCTTTTACCTTACATATATATTTTTTTCTTTTCTTTTCTTTTTTCTTTTGAGGGGAGAGGTAATTAGGTTTATTTATTTATTTATTTGTTTGTTTGTTTGTTTGTTTATTTATTTATTTATTTTTGATGGCGGTACTGGGGATTGAACCCAGGAACTCGTGCATGCTAGATGCACACACACTATCACTGAGCTGTACCCTCACTTTAAACACCCCTACACCTCTCCGTCTCTCTCCCTCTCACCTTTCTGAGATGGCCTGTATTCTGCTCATGGAACGTCTATCTGCTAAGATGCTCTTTCTTCTGAGTGAGATGGACCCCACCTGGTGGAGTGTGTCTCTGTAATTAAACTTGCTCTCACTTTACTGTGCCTTGCTCTTGAATTCTTTCCTGCGTGAGGCAAGAACCTATTCTCCGACAACAGTACCAGTCCCCTAGCACCCAACCTCACAGTTTCCAGGGGACAGCAAGTCCTTGGTGCTCTGAGATGCCACTACAGGGCATCAGAGCTAAGAGAAAATGCTCTGGTACCTGCCCACCCATCCTGTGCCCAGAACAGTCTCCCGGGAAGCTGTGTCTGAGAATTACTTTGGGAATGGTTACAGAGAGCACATCACAGCTAGGACTTAAATTCTTCCAAGGAAAAAATAATTTTTTGGATGTTGAGGAAAGCTCAGACTTCCAAAAGGTTTAAGGGTGGTGGGGGAGTCCGGTGAACACGGTGAGAACTGTTCTCTTCACTTCTTTGATAACAAACAGCAACAGAAAGCACCCTGGGGACCTCTGCCTTCTCAGAGGAGGCAATTTCTTAACGCTTGGTCTTTTTCTTATTTCTTTAGGTTTTAGAGCCCTCAAAATAAACGTCCTCAGTGAACGCCCTCAGTCCGGGAAAGGACAGTCTCAAATCCAGTCAGAGCTTCTCCAGTGTGCTCCCTGCCACACAGCTGCCCTCTCCAGCTGGTTCTCAGCCCACCTTTTTTGATTTTATATTTCACAATCCACTGCCATTTAAAGGAACGGGCATGTACTTTCAAAGTTCACTGACTATAAACACATTTCTCTCTCTCTTTTTTTCACATCGGAAGCAGAATACAAGAACTCTCCAAGACAGAACTATGCAGTGAGAAGGGAAGTAAAAGAGAAATAAATATAAGCATTATGAAGAAAAAGGCCTTTAGCATGCCTCGTGCTCCAAGAACGTGTCTGTAGCTGCTTAGGGCAGGGCTTGGCGGCCAGCCACAGGCAGCAAAGGGGCTCCGGGCGAACAGAGTCCCAACCCGTCCAGGAGGGGGATTGCTGGCACCTAGAGTGATTTACTGAATCCATTTCCACTCGCAGCCCTCCACTTGGAAAATGTGAGATATTGTTTATTCCTGGTAATAGTAAGGATCTGCTAGCAGGACCCTCTCTCTCTGGGTACCTGATTAGGTTCACCTAATCCAAGCAAGCATTGCATTATTTACGAAACAAAGCTGAATTCCACGAAAAGGGTTCTTCAACCATGTCAAGAAAATTTTCACTTTTTATTTTGAGTTTTATATAGAGGTAGATATTTTCTTAAAACATGTACTCCTGTTTAATGAAGATCTATGCAAGGACAAAACTTTTTTTTTTTGCATGTTTCGTTTCTAAACTTGTGTTTGAATTAGTTTGGGTCTAACTCAATCCTGATGTCTCCAGGAGGGCAATTTTCTATTGGAAAGATGAATAATTTAAGAGAGGTCTACATTGCTACATCCATTGTCGGAAGAAATTAAGTCGGTCTTGACTTTGACTTCTACACGTAGGTTTTACAGAAGTTCTGTTCGTGACTCTTCCCTTCCCCATCTAAACAACCTTGACAGACACTGCAATGAATTAGAGCAGAGCGGTGATTTTCCAGCCTGCTTTTTTAAGACCAACGTGAACAGTCCCTTGATTTTCTTGCTCACAGTCTTGTTCAACATTTCTATTGTATATAGAGGTTCTCTTGCTATTTCCTCCTCCTCCTTCTTCCTCCTCTTCTTATTATCATTATTTTTATTTTAGTGAGTTCAACTTTTAAAATTTATTACCAAGAAAATGTGTTACATTGCTAAATAGTTCTGTGGTCTCAGGAAGTTGATTTTTTCCTCCTTAAAAAAAAAATCTAGGTATAGAGGTACAATTCTATGAGCTGAAGAGGATTTTTTTTTTCAAGCACTGGATGGACTACGTTCTTGATAAACACATTCATATGAGCATTTAGGGGGCTCTTCATTTTTATCTAGTGGCATTTCCTTAAGCAGAATGAATAACGTAGGTAGCTAAGGACATTATCATCCCACCCCCGTTCCCAGTCATCTTGTCTCTGAAGAATGAACACCAACAACACGCAACAGGAAGTCATCACTGCGAGGGAACAGCTGCCGACGTGAAAAACAGAAGCCAGGAGAATATGTAGGAGGTATTTAAGACACTTTACTTTTTGAGAGTGCTTTCTCATACGTGATCTCACTTAACCCTCTAATTCTTCAAGTAGAATTACTGTGCTATTTTACACAGTTGAAGAAAGGGAGGGTGGAAGAAATAAAGTAAATAGTAAATTACTTTTTAAAAGAAATGCCGCAGAATCAGTTGGGTTCTTAAGTGTTAAAAGTCAGATGGTTCCTGTAAATCTATTTCTTT